ATTAAACAAAAAAATTAAACAAGAAGAGATATTTGTTCTTGTGTGCCTATATAAAAAAATAAATATATGTATTTGGTTTTGTAGCCATTATTGAAAAACTGCTGAGGTAATGCTGACTGTCTCTCAGCCCTTCAGTGCACAAAACAGTGTGCTTGTAGTTCTGATGTAAACAGTTGTTAGTATTTAATTTCTTTTTATTGCAGAATAGTAAATGCTGCTTTTATAATTTTGTATTTTGAAATTTGTTTAGGGAAGAATTTAAAGAGAGGGCAGTCAGATTTCTGTTTGCACGTCCCAAAAAATGGGTCCACTTGTGTAACATCCAGCCTGAGACACATTATTTTAATAGCAAGTTATCGCTTCTCATGTCGTCATCATGATGTCCGACAGCCTTATCGAGCTTTGCATTTTATGCCAATATTGTGCGGTCCTAATCAGTACCTTACCTCACTCATGCTCTTGTGGCTGAATGCAATCAAATCCTCACAGCAAGGCTCCAACATCTAGTGCAGGGGTCGACAACCCAAATGTTAAGAAGATCCATTTTGTTCTTTCAACAAAAATCAAACCCCCTTGGGAGCCACAACATTTTATGTCCATTTTATTGAGGTAAAGAAGTTTTACCCTCTTGGCAGTAAATGTGTCTTAATATGTGCTAATGTCCCAGTGTAGACTAAAAAAAAATATCGTAAACCAAAACGCAGACTTACTTTGCTCTGCTTTAAGCTTTAGCTCAGCTATAGCTGCTTTTCTCACATCTCCAGCAAGAAACTTCTACTTAAAAGTAGAATAGTTTCGTGAAAAATTCTACCTTTTACGAGGCAGAAACAGCTTCTCATTCGCCAGCTTCTTGTTCAGTTTTCCCCTTCCACCTTAAACTGCTGCAACATGTAGGGTAAAATGGGAAAATTCGAATGAGAAGTTGGCGATTGAGACTTCAGCTTCGCTACTTTGTAGTGTTTGACAGTTTCTCATTGCAGATTAAATGTATCAGGAAACCAGCTGGAGTGATTATAAATTCAAGTCCAATAGCTTCATCTCAAAAATGGCAATGTTCATCTTACATCTTTCTCTTTCCCTTTTCGTTAGCTACTAGCTAGGCCAGATTCTTGCATTGCTATGGTGACCAGCAGTCTGCTCACCAGTCTTCAGTGTTAAAGGGTGATTTAGCAGTTATAGGCTACTTTAACTCCAGAGTTTAAGACCATTTATGTTAAAACTGTGTTGAACGATCAGCAGAGCTTTATTTTACTGCAAAAGAGGATTATTTTATTTTTACCTGAAAATCTAATTCTGCTGTGGAGCCGCAACAGGGCAGTAAAAGAGCGAATTTGTGAATTATTTTTTCCTTATTAACCATCCTTCAATTCCTTGCTTTTATACTTACATAACCTACCTATTAGTTTTTTTTTAATTACTGAATAATAACTAATTAATTGAAATTACAAAAGTCTACTACTAATAATAAGTAATTTTGCAGCAATACTGTGCTGTTGTCGTTCCTGATGCTGGCACTCAAATACAGTATTGCTGTCAGCAGTTTCTGTGTGATGCTTGCATGCATGCCAGTACATGGATTTTAACTGAGGCAAACAATATATTGGTGGTGTGAGATTTTATCAAGCTTGAGACGAGCAGTAGTAAAAGTGGTCATTGCAAAATCTCCAACGACAGTAATTCGAACAAGGATTTTATGCGTTAATTGAGCATTTGGAGATAAACCATACTGAAGAGCACAGCGACTTCTCATAGTTCTGAAACCATTCAAATGTGAAGTTATCCAACCAGTAAATGCCATTCATTCACACTTAGTATGTTTTATTTGTGATGTAAAGCACTACTTTCACCAAAACGAAAAATGTAAAAAGTGGAGCAGTGTGAATATCAGGATTTATATGCATGTATTGAGTAGTTAGGGTTAGGAGATAGGATCGGTATCAGCCACAATGCACAGGAATCCCCATTCTTGGAGAATTCTTCAAATTTCAGAAAATATTTTTTAGTGAAACCAAGTATAGCCCTTTCAGCCAATGAGAACTCGCGTCGCTGCAGGGTCCACCCATCCCGGGACTTGGTAACGACTGTCAGCATATGGTGCATTTAGAACGTAAGAACAGCTGAGAAACTTAGTCATTTACGTTCTAATGTCCACAAACCTTGGTGGCATTCATTTGAATTTGTGTTCTCGATGTAGTTGATATTTTGGCTGATTCGTGTGTTTATTGTTGAACATTTCAGTTAGTGAGCTCAGATAAACATGTCAGTGATAAATAAGGAAGTAAGCCAATGTGACTCAAATGAGAGGTTATGTCTAATACTGAGCTAACTGGCCTGCTAATGAGGTCGACCTGGTTCAGTATTTCAGTTGTAGCAGTGGCTATTTTGTCAAGCATTTTATGTTTTGCTGGCTCTTTTTAGTCTCTGCTTTGTTGGGCAAAATTCCTGTACGTGAATTTCTGTACGTTATGTTGATATTTAGCAGTAGTTTCAATGGAAGTGCTGTTAACCTTTGGGAGATGTCTTTTCATGTGGTGTTAGTTTGTATGGTGGTGTTTAATTGTACAGTCAAAGATCAAGAATTTGTTCATTTTCCTGCTCTACATAAAGTGTTCCTGCTCTCAACATAAATGAGATCATCTGTATGTAAGAAAATCAATAGATTTAAAGAGGTTGATGCTGCAATTACACTGTTTGTGTTAGTAAATCCCTGGTGTTCCATTAAAAGGCCCATGTTTGATAGAGAACTAGACTTATTTACAGTCAAAAGTGCTGTTGTTCTGTTGAAAAAGCTTGGAGGCCCCATTTATAACAAGGTACCTGTAAGCTTCTAAGGAAAAAGCATTCAAGCATTCAGCTCTTAAAATATCCTACTATTTTTATTTGCAGGAAGTGCTCTATGTTAAAACATTGTTTGATTGTAAAATTTATGAATGGAAAAGTCATTTCTAAGGTGTATTTTAATGTGAAATGTGCCAGAAACTGGCATTTTAGGAGGTGTTTTTGTGGTGTCACTGCATCCTAGTCAAAAGATTAATAAATAAATGGTGAGCTTGCAGTTTAAGGGGTTACTGTTACTTGAGACTTGAGCGGGTGTTAAACTTTTTTTTTGTCTTTCCTGCTCTCTCACACATATACAGACACACACACACACATCAGGAAGTCTCATACACTCTTATCTCCAAGCCTCAGCTTTTCCAGCACATGCCGCGTATGTATATGTATGTTTCTCTGTCTTTTTGACCTTCGCACAAGCTCACCGTAGCATTTTAACACGACTCAAGGCTGCATATGAAGAGAGAGAGTTTCTCTGTGAATGTTAAGCTAATCTTCAAGCCTTTCTTTAATATTGGGTGTCTTTGAAATGATTTGCTGTCAGACAGCGTAGTACATGAAGACCTCAGTTTCCCAGTCAGTGTTTAGCAAGATACTTTGTGAGTGTGTGTTGGGCTGTGGCTGCACCGTTGTGTGAGCTGTCTGTGGTAGAGGGGTTGAACCACCACCAAACTGATGACTCAAAAGAAATTGAAGTGATGAGACAAAGGAAAACAAGGTGTCGTTTTACTTGGACTCTGGACTACAACTTGTGACTTGCATGCCGCATTGTAAAATTATGTGCTCAATGTTGAGTTCCTTATGTGTTCCTGACACTTTGGTGTTCTGTCATAAATCATATTTCAGAATCATGTGAGGGTAGCATTGAAAGTGAGGGCTGAGGTAGATAAAAATTCATAGACAATTGTCAAGCCTTTCATGGAGTATATGAATATGTCCAGAAAGAGGCCTTATTAGAGTCAATCTGAGATCAAAATTGATTACAAAATTCTGTATTAGTAAATTTTCCTGGTCATATTAAACTCACCTTATAATTCCATGTCATTTAAAAGATCTTCCATCAAAAATATTACCATTCTGTGTTACACTAATAATATTTTTTATATAATTTCTAAGTCATGTTTGCTTTAATAATGTGAAATATTTTAGCTCCAACAAGTTTAAAAGAGGATACAGCAGTGTTTTTAAGCTAACTAGTTGTGTAAGGCAGCTGTTCAAATCAGTCAGACTACGGTAGATTTATGAAAATGTTTAAGCCACAACTTCACAACACATCATGCAGTTGGGCTTGAAGGTTCAATCAAGGAAGCACTGACGTGACCATCAATAAGGCTTCTGTAGAAAATAATGTCATGGCATAACATGGCATGTTATAACACTGGTATGTCCCAGCCCTGTTCCTGTGGAGCTACTCACCTACAGATTGAAGTTCCAACCCTATTCTAACACACCTAGTCCAGCTAATCGAGGAGTTCTGGATCTTCTGAATATTGGAGCTGGTTGTTTTAGATTAATGTTGAAACAAAAGTGTAGGAGTGTAGTTTTCCAGAAACAGACTTGGAGAACTATCCCTGCAACACCCTTATTTTTTAAGCTTTTATTCAACTAGCCTACTTTATTATGTTGTGAACTTGGGGATTTGTGGCTTTACTGAGAAATTGAGTATAGGCAGAACAGCATTATTGGCCTTAGTACGGACACCTGGGGAATGCCATGTAATGCCAGCGTACTACTAGATTTTTATGCTTCTTATAAATAAAAGGTCAATAATACATTGAAAATACATTTGTGGGTTTCTTTGGTTGCTTGTGCAGCCGTCTTGCTGGTTTTCCTTTTTTTTCTCATAACACTCCGTTTGGAGTGTCTCTGAAAAACCTCAGTTTGAAGGGCCATGTAGCCATAACACTTCGCTCTACCCCTCCATCTCAACAGAAATCAGGACACCCTACCCCTAAGTGTAAACAAGCAAAACAAAGGGGAAGGGGCTAAATAGTAGGGGCAAGGGGTGAAATGGGATTGGGCCCCAAGTCTCATTTTCCTATGGCTTATTTACTGAGGTTATTTGTGATGACTGACATAAGATCTAGTGTCTGTATGTTTGCCTTGTTCATGCATTGCAATTAAACATTAATATATTTTGTTTTCTCTATACTTTTTTTTCCCAACAGACGTGTGATCATGATGATGAGGACGTTGAGATCGCTGTGGATAATGCAGCGTTCATGGACGAGTTCTTTTCCCAGGTAATGTACTTCAAAATCCGTTCATATGCAAAACATGATTTATATGTAAAATCACTTTTTATACATTAAATGCTTCCCCTTAATGGTGCAGTATACGATTCTGGAGAGCGATTGTTGATTTTTGCTCAACAGCAAAACAAGTACGACCCTCCCTTCAGTGTCTCTTTAGAAGCTCCGCCCCCCAAATACCTAGATGCGCCTTTCCATGGCGATCAACACTGGGCTAGCTTTTTCTAGGTACTCGTGGCTATAAAACCCTTTACAAATTTTGTATGGACAGCAAGTAATGTAACTAATGTTTGCAAGGTTGTGACTTTGAAAACTCTCGCTACAATTGCTGCTGTGAAGCTGACCAGTTGCTATAGCAAACTGGGCAAAACAGTACTAACCTGCTCATTTTGTGAAACAGCAAAAATAAATTAATGTTACCCACCTGTCAAGCTGAAACAGAGCAACCTTGTCATGCTTTTACATGCCTTTAAACTCTTGATGAAGCAGAAGTCAGCTTCTTTTTCTCCACCTTCTTGTTCAGATGTTCCTGTTCCACCTTAAATGGTGCAGCAGTTACATTCTGGGGCCTCAGCTTCTTGTTTGATATTTCTCTTTCCACCTTAAAAGGTGCAAAGTTTACATTCAGGTTCCTCAGGCGCAAAATGGAACTGTTGCATGATTTAAGCTGGGACGGGAAAATGCGAATAGGAAGCCAACTTCTGTCCAGACACCCTTGTCTGATATATTAACTTCTTTCTCAATGTTTGTTCTTCAGATCTTTTCCTCTTTGGCTGTTTCTCGGCCATCTCACCTTTTTGACAATGCGTGGAGTTTAGCACATTGCCCCTCCCCTCCCTCCGTCCTGTGCACAAACACAGAAGCCCTCTTTTGCTGATCGGCTAAAATAATGTTAGCCTTAGAGACAGGGAATTTTTTTCTAGTGCACACAGAGCGGAGAGCTAGCAGGCCATGAGGAGATATTCACTCAATTTGACAGTGTATTGGATTGAAATCGTATACTGCACCTTTAAGCCAAGACTTTTAAAGTTTGATGTGTCAGCCTGTTGCTTGTTCAGATGAGCTTGTTGTAAATAAGTTTATCTCTGTGTTTCAGATTGAAGACATCAGAAACAGCATTGATAAGATTGATGAAAACGTGGCTGAAGTGAAGAAACTTTATTCAGTTATTTTATCTGCACCAACATCTGATCAGAGTAAGTTATACACACACAGAGATACATGACACACATGCACTGTTTCTCTTTGTCTGTAGAATCCAACATTTTTGATTTGACCATTTCGGTAAACACATCTAACGCTGCATTCGATTCACCTCCCTTTTAGAACCGTACAGTTCAACAGAGTTTGTTATAAGCTGTACAATTTAAAGGTTTTTATTAGGGATGCAGTGTGTGTTATTGTAATATAATACATCTCATTTTGTCTAATTGTGTTGCAGGGTATCATGTGGTATTGTGACTAGCATCACTTGAGTCAATGAGTGTTTATTTCTTAGCACAGGGAAATTACTATAGATGGTGACTGACTGTACCCAACAAATATGGTTGCGTGGTATCTTGTGCGTGATATCTTGTGTCTAGTTAATTAGCTTGGGCCTAACATTAGTGGCTAGAACATTGGATTAGGACACTGATAAAGCATGGTTTCTGTTTAGGGCTGCAATGAATACTTGACAAAATTCAATACTTTTGATAATTAAAATATTCAAAAGAAAAAGTGATTCTAATAACTGGGACTTTTTTTACATGACTTTATGAAAGCAGGCAATTCAGTGCATTGATATTTATCAGCCTGACGGGAAACAAAGTTTTGTTTATGAAGCAAAAAGATAATGAGTCACCAGTAGAGCATAGTAGCAACACATCTAAATAGAATAGGATGTTCTGGTTAACCTTTTTTCATGTCATTCAGATGATTCTTTCAGGTCAGGCCATGGTGATATCACTGCAGTAGTCAGAGGTTGGACTGTCAAGACTCTGTTCCTAACTGTTTGTGTTAGAGCTCTAATTTGAGGTTATAATGTTGGATTTAATTGCACATTGTAGTCACCCTCTTGCTCACTGAGTTGACTAAAAAGCTGTTTTTAAGACAATGTGGCTAAAATGACTCTCTGCTCTCCTTCATCGCCCATTACTGTCATGTTGAAACAGTCTCCACAGCCTCATGGCAGTCACCAGTTGCCAGAATTAGCAATTTCTGCAACTTGCTATGACAGTAGTATTTTAATGTTTTTTCCATTACCTTGTAATATGTCAGGTTTCAGTAAGTAATACTAATAATAATAATGATGATAAAATAGCATTTTTCTTTTAATTATTCAAATAGAACATATAGCTTTCCTTATTCTTATAAAAAATATATATATTTGAAATAGTATCCAATATAATATTCAAAAATAAAAATTCTAAATATTTGAATTAGAAAATTCCAAATATTTGACAGTTGCATTTCAATAATCAAACCATAAGCCAAGCTTTACTACATGGAAAACACTACAGCAGATTGTTTAGAGTCTCTGATAATTCTATAGTGTTATAAATGTAATTTTAAAATGTTGTATTTAAAACATGTGGGTAAGTTATTACCTAAGCAGTACTGTTCAGCAGTTTATCATAAACAATACAGTCCTAAAGGATATCACTTAATATTGTTGGATATATTGTTACTGTATTCTGCTGAAATTTAAATGCCAAATCATAAACTAGCTTAAGTACACTGAAAACACCATAGCAGCTTCTTTACAATATCTGATAATTCTGTAATATTGCAAACGTAATTTAAAAACCTGTCACCTGTGAAAGAAACCCGTATGGTGACGGCGCGTTCGGCTGACTACTGACGCTCAACATGATATTGACTGTCAACACTTCATTTACCAGCTGTAGGATTTAGTTCAGGACTCTAGAGACACGCCCTTAGGTCACACTCTGTTACTTTAAAAGAATACTTCAGGTTTTTCAGCCTAATCTCAATCTGCTATATTTGTAGGGTACAGTTATTTACTATCTATAGTAATTTCCCTGTGCTAAGAAATAAACAGAGTAATCATTGACTCAAAGCAAAGCCAGTGATTGGCTGTTGCATGGCTTCTGATACAAGTTTGAGTCAACAAGTTTCCATTTCTTTATTACGTGGAAACTACAGGAGGAAGTTCAAGAAATGACTGTTCTAATTAACTGTATATGACAGATACAGTAGATAAAGATTAGATTGAGAAACACTGGGGTACTCCTTTAATTTCTGCTTAAAACTGTTTATTTATAGTAGACAATGTTATTTTCTGATATCAGTGTAGTTTGCCAGTGAACCACAATCAGGTTGCTACACTCTTGTGAAAATCCTGTTGCCTCTTTGGATCCTGAAGCTTCAATAGAAACTTGATATGTCACTTTTGTAGCCTGGGAGCGGCTTGCGTTCCTGAACAAAGCAGGATTTCTCTTTATTCATTGTTGTCTTGTACTATATGGGACTGTGTGGGAATAAACCTCAAAAGTGGTGATTCATCACACACAGTTCATCTGAAAGAATTATTCAGAAAAGTCGTTCATACATGGAGTAACAAACAGCACACCCAAATAACAGAACCACAAGGCTGCATGTTGTGTGCAAATAACACACCCAGTCTGGATGACTGACCAAATGAAGACCAGTGACTTCTATTTACTATGATGACATTTTAGGGCCACTGACTTCGAGAAAAAAGTCATAATATTTCGAGAAAAAAGTCTTAATATTTCGAGAATAAAGTTGTAATATTTCAAGAAAAAAAAGTCGTACTAATTTGAGAAAAAAAGTTGTACTATTTCGAGAAAAAAAGTCGTAGAATCACGACATTAAAGTGGCATTAATACCAGGAAAGGTCGCAATATTGTGGCCAAAGGCTTTGCAAAGGGGAGGCAGCAGCTCCTCATGTTAAATGAGGGGCGTTGAGTTGGTGGAGTTGTACTTTCATATCGATTCACCCATAAAGAAACACTCAGTCTCCCTGTCTCTCCTGCACATCAGCGTCAGCCTGTTGTTAGTATAAGAAACGGCTGAGCAGGAAACTCTGTTTATGTAGAATAAAGAGCCAGACGGACTCGGAGGAAACTGTCTGCCTGTTTTGTTGAAGGAGAATCGCAGGCAGGATCGTCTACATGGCTATCGGGGGCTACATCTCCATGCCATTCAAAGAGGGCATGAAGTTTCACAGACAGTGAGAATGATGATCAAAATGATTGATCAACAAACAGACAAGAGTGTGTGGAACTCCGGTGCGCCAGTACAGCAACCGAGACCCCAGTGCGTTATGACAGCCCCCCATACAGTTATCCCACTTTATCCTCCAAGTATTATGACTTTTTTTCTCAAAATATTATGACTTTTTCCTCGATGTCCACTGTTTTTATTTTTATTAACAGTGGCCCTAAAACGCCGTCGGAATTTACTCATCAGTATGTCGCTTATGCTAATTTGTGAGATCATCATACTACAACCCTGACACCACAGCTGTGTAAAAGATGAGCTTCAGGCTTTACTAAATCACAAATGCGGTCTAGTTTGACTTCCCTTAAAGGGCCCATAATCATGGAAAACTAGATAGTTCTCACGGTTGTGAAATAAAAAATGTGATGTATGTAAACAGTGTTAAAGTTCCTAAACACACTGTTTCCTCCCCTGCAGCTAGTTTTGAATTCACTGTTTCTCTGATGTCACAAAAACCAACATATTTACATAAATGCACTTATACAACCTACAGTAGTTTAGTTCCACCTGTTCATGTTGAAGTTGCAAAGAGTGCACGAAACAAGGCAGCCAATCAGATTTACAACAGAGCTTGCTTAAATAAATCTCAGTCTTAAAGGCACAAAAAATAATCTGTTTAATTCTAAGGGATAAAGAAAACGTAAAAATGAATTATGACCTTGTTTTTGGTACATAAACCCACACAAATATTAAGTGGACTTCAGAGGAATGAAGGAAATGCACCTTTTTTAAATGATTTTCTTTCTTTCAAAAGCTAAGATTTAACTGTATGTACATCACACAAACTCCTAAAATGTTATTGACTTCTTTTTTTCTCTCCCCCCCCCCCCAGAAACACAAGATGACCTGGAGGCCCTCACCAATGACATTAAGAAAATGGCCAACAATGCTCGCAACAAGCTGAAGAGTAAGTCTGTGCTGATCCATCGGCATTCTGGGTAGTGTAATGATTTCTCATTAGGCTTAATGTCAGAAATGAGGCTGAGTCCGAAGTGCTGTTACAGCCTTGGGCAAATTAATTACATCGCTTAATATGTAAATATATGTAAGTATGTGTAAATATGTAGTGTGTGTGTGTGTGTGTGTGTTTGCAGCCATTGAGAGGAATCTCGAGTCAGATGAGGAGGAGAGAGTGTCAGCCGACACAAGGATACGCAAATCACAGGTTGGTAAATCCTCCAGCCATCCAACACACACACTGGCTCTAGGGATGTGCATTCTGACTGATTTTAATATTCAATGATCTGCAAGTGTCTTGAATAGATAACTATTTAACCCCAGTGAAAAAAACAATGACAAACAAAAAAGACTTGCCCAAAAAAATTGTAGGCTTACCTTTTTGGGATGCAGATAAGGACACAGAATTTTCTTGTCGGTGAGCGATGTGCCAACATGTTACTTTTTAAAGAAATGTATTTGCATTGTTTCTGGACATAGCTAACATCAGCTAGAGTAGTTAGCCTATGCAGTGATGCAGTCACGGCATCTTTGCCTTTTCAGTCTCATCCTTAACAACACGTCCTCGGCAACACGCTGAAGTTCAAGCATTCGTGTTTCGCATAACCATAGTCGCAAATGAGAGCAAAACCGTAGCGTCACTGCCCATTTTTTTTGCTGTGCATATGTCTGAATTTTTAAATGAGTGGCATTTAAATGTAATATAGTCAACAAGAAAATTAAATATTGTTATAAATAAACATGGGTCCACAGCAAACTCATCCAAGAAAAAAGCTGTCTAAACTGTTTTCTAGGTGCACAGGCCACACAAAACACTGAGAAAAAATAGTTTAAGCAGGATTAATGCAGAAAAAAGTAATTAATTGTAATTAATAAATAAACATGGACACAAAAAAATTCTGATAGCACACCAATGCAAAGTAAAGCGTACTCACTTGTTCTTGGACTTTTTGCCATATAAACATGCATTTTAGTTCACTGTTTAATGTAACATTCACTTTGAAGTTGCCATTTTACCCTTTCAGCACCAGATAAACAATTTATTGTCACGATTTGCTGCCACTTTCACTTTAGATTTAAGTTAAGCACAGACATGCGAAGTATATTAGCCACTCAGACTATATATTCATTACTTTTGCATGTTGCAGTTTTACAGACTTTTCACAGACTATCTTTGATGTTTGGGCCTCAAAAAAGTGTAAACCAGCCCTGGTCCTGGAGATCCACCTTCCTGAAGAGTCTAGTTCCTATCACAATCTGCCACACCTGCTCCGGCTAATTAACCTCTTCAGAAGTCTTCGGTTGATGTGTTTGTGTTAGATAAGGGAGCCAGCATGTCATGGTGTTGGACAGTGCAGGACAGTTACAAACCTGTGATCACACATTATGTCGTCATTTCTTCAGCTGAATAATATGTACCATGCTTGGTGAATTTGATTATTCTTTTTGCTGGGGTACCAAGCTTGGCAAAGCCAGAATGTATGGTTGGAGCTAGTAATGATACAAAACACTGATTGATTGGTCAAACGGATTCATCACAGAATTGTCGCACATTGTCACTCAAGTCAGATAAGCACCATTAAAAAGAACACAGAATCACAGACTGTGACTCTTCACAGAAACCAAATGCTCAGTAAAGGGTAAATCAGAGCTCCTCCAATGAGGCTCCTCCATTGTTGCCACTGTTGTTTGTGTTTTCTGTAAATGCTAGGTTCAGATGAGCAGTCATGTGACCACACAAGCTAAAGAGAACTCCACCTACTTTCATGTTTCTGTTATGTGGTGGAAAACAGACATAGGTGGTCAACTGGGGTACAGATATTTCTGGGTTTGGATTTGTAACCGTACCGCTGTACCGGTTGGAACTGAACTCTACAGGGAAGTGGATGTCCAGGAGAAAGATTGTTCACCAGTGTAGTAGGCTATTTCAAACAGAGCCACACACCGACATTATACATACAGTACTGTGCAAAAAGCTTAGACTATCTGTAAAGTTATGTTTATATTTAGTTATGTTTATTATATTTGATTTGAAAAAAGCATTAGAAAAGATACATAAATAAGTGGCTTAACTATTTTCAAACCTCTCCTCAAACACCTGAGTGTTTGTAGTTATCATCTAGTAGCTGGTCGGGCTTGTTACAAGTATGTAAAAATATATATATATATACATACATACATACAGGATAGGGGTGCGGGGAAAAATCAATTCTTAGATGCATTGCGATGCATCGATAATCGTTTCATAATCGCATCGCAGCCCTCTGAATCGCAATCGAATCGTGAGGTGCCTAGAGATTCCCACCCCTAATACAGGGTGATTCAAAAAGATTAATCCGATTTCAAAGCGCCATATTTTTACAACCATGAGGCGCATAGGAACCAATCACATACCAACTGAAAGAGGGGGTCATAGAGTTTCTGACTGGCTCCCTTCAGTCGGCGAGGAGATGCGACCCCTGAGCAGAAAGCGTTTTGCGTTCTCCGCTTCAATAAGAGTGAATCCGTCATAACTGTGCAGCGTGATTTTCAGTCGATAGTGAAGCCTCAACAGCTCAGAGCGTTCGTCGTTGGTTCCACAACACTGGATCATCTCCGAAATCACACTGTAAGAGCCGTGAGTTCAGTGACACCCGACATGCTCAATCGAGTATGGGATGAATTTGACTATGGCGTTGATGTTATACGTACAGCTGGAGGAGGTTCATATTGAGACCTTAATAATAAACTTTATGCTCATTAAAGCCTTTACAGTTTACTGCATTGTTCTGTAATGATTTACAAGTGAAATAAATCATTTAAAACGGATGAATCTTTTTGAATCAACCTGTGTGTGTGTGTGTGTGTGTGTGTGTGTATATATTATTTACAAAACAAAAACACTTAGTGTTGTCTTTAGAAAAAAATGTTTTAAGCACTTTTTTTTGCCCACTACTTTATACTACATTATATATGCACTCAGTGAGAGAAGTATAATTTCATATGTCTTTTTCCCCAGCATGCCGTTCTGTCCAGGAAGTTTGTGGATGTGATGACAAAATACAATGAAGCTCAGGTGGACTTCAGAGAGAAGAGCAAAGGACGCATCCAGAGACAGTTAGAGATCAGTGAGTCACTGTTTCTCCTATTCACCCCCCCCCAGTGAAGTCAAAACTGCCTTCTATTTATTTCATTTCCAGTCACAACAGCCATTAAGTACAAGGTTATCATTTTTTAGGAAATATTTATGAGGAGATTAAGTAGAAGATAATCCACTTGCATGAAGAAAGTCGAAGGAAAATAGGTGAAACAGAGTTTCCAAAACTAGATTTTAAAAAATGATGAAAATATATAGAGAAAATGGGACTCCTAACAACCATCTGCAAGACCTGGTAGACTACCAAAATGGTCCCTATCAGATAAACTGTACGGAAAGCTTTCATTACTTGGATCGTAAGAAGCAGAAAATGCAACCAGCTTCTAAGACTGAACTTTCGAGGTGTGGAAAAATATTCCTGCAGATTTTGACTTATTTTTGACTTAAATAAATGAAAGGTGGTCTCTGGCTTTTTCACAGTACTATATCTTTGCAGTTAACAGTCCCGTGTCATTACAAAAAGACAGGTCGTGGCACTTTCCCTAGATGAAACACTTCAACTCTAGCTGAAATACTTCAGCTGTAACCGCTTTCTGTGCAATCTCAAACTGGTTCCTCTCTTGCACTTGTGGTCAGTGAGTGTCAAACAGACATTCTTCTTTTTTCTTCTACCACATCAACCAGTCCTTAGCTTTAAATAACTGTAATTAAACCATTCAGATCTTCAGCACTGAATGAAAGTTTATTGAACCATTTAATGTGATGCAAATTGCAGTCCTTAAATAAACATTATTGAACAAGTCAATGCAGTGCAAGTATTTTGAAATGCAGAGGTGGTAGGAACTAGCTAGTAGTTAAAGTTACATGAGCTCAAGTAAACTTTGATGGACTTTTCTATTATATTGTAGCCATAAACATTTACAACAATTCTTTTTTGGTGTTTAATTTCATTGTTGTGTTGGTTACAGCAGCAGTACTGTTTTATGGTTGGTGACACAGCTGGCTTGATGTGTATCATTTTATTTGACATCAAAAAGAAAAGAACTGACCGTAAGAGTTCCACCGCAGTTCTATAAGTTACTCATGATGTTACTTCACCCCTACTAACCCCTACTCTACTCTGCCCACCCCTGTGAAAATGTAAGACTCTGTTCTACTCTCTCTTTAGCTGGTAAAGCCACTACTGATGAAGAGCTGGAGGAGATGTTGGAGGGAGGGAATGCAGCGGTCTTCACTGCAGGGGTAAACTGTGTGTTCTTAATTTGTTTCTCTGTGTGCATTTGCATGCATGTGTTTATTTCTCTCTGACCTTTCATGTTGGTTAAGCTCATGGCCTAAATCTGTCCTTCATTAGTTGAAGGTGCAGCGAGTAGGAGTTTTATGCTCTTAGACCCAATTTATACCTGGTCACTCCTTTGTTTTGAATATTAGGATTATCTGGAGGCCAAGCCGCAAAAACATGCATGTGTAACAGCAGCCAAGATGCATTAAAACAGATACAAATCCGAGCCCTCCAACCACTTCCATTCAACAGCCAAAAGCCCTCTCAGTACAACCTAAACTCCTCCCCATGCAGTGCGTCACGGGGCTTATGGTTCGTGTTTGCAAGGAAGATAAACAAGAGAGCATACATGCTTGGGGACCAGACAATACGAAATGCTAAATAGCAAAATGGACATACACTGCTGTGCAAAACACACTGCAGATGAAGAGAGTGAACATATAAACAATTGGTAATTGGTTGCCGTATAAGAAGCAGATTTGCATAGTCCGTCCCACTTAGCATTCACATTTTCCATCCGACTAACCAGAGATGCATATAACTGCCAAGTGTAAATGCATGTGGCTAAAATCTTCTCAGGATACAATCCAGATACTAGTCATATGAAGTGACCAGGTGTAAACGTTAAAATGCATTAAGACGAAAAACTGCATTTTGGCTGGAAAAAAAAACAAAATAGGCCTACATCAATACGTCAATCTCACATCTAACAAAAATCTAAATAAACAGTGGGTCAGCCATGTGGGTCAATTTTGTGGTTTCTACAAGTGAAAGTAGACAAGCAATTTATAATCTCTGCTCATGTTGAGTATAAAAAGGTGATACAACATCCAAGAACCTCTCTGCTACAGGTTTGATGGCACTTGAAACATGACATCACACATTAAAAAAAGCAGAAACAGAAGATGATGGTTAATAAACTACATCGCACTGCCTTCTTCAAAAGAATCTATTTGCTGATTGTATTATAGATCATAGATTCGGGGATATCGAAGCAGGCACTGAGCGAGATCGAATCTCGGCACAAAGACATCGTGCGCCTGGAGAGCAGCATAAAGGAGCTACATGACATGTTTGTGGACATCGCCATGCTTGTAGAGAGCCAGGTACGCTCCTCCAGTCGTCATTCTATCCTTTCATATCTCACATTTTTACTGTCCTTTCAGACATCACTCCGTCATTCTCGCTCTCCTGCGTCAGTTTCCCTGGAACATTTTCTCTCCTCTCTTCTGCACTCTTTGCTCCTCTCATTCTCACTGTTTTTTTCCTTCTTCCTCTCTCTTGGCCCCAGTTTTCCTTTCCCCTGGCCCCTTGCTGTGCCCTCTTCATGCGATTGGCTGCTTGCTGGTCGGAATTGCAGCTGATCAGAACCCTGCTGTCCAAATGTGAGTTATTTTCCCTCCATACAGGAGACCTTTCCCTGACCTTTTTCTCTTTCCTTCCTTTCATTTTTCATGCAGTGAACTAGTTCACATTGGACTTGTATTCAGTATACACTGTTAGGAATGAGCCATTCATTTTCATTTGATTTGTTTATTTGCATATTGTTGGTGTCCTAACAAAACCTTGTATATCCAAAATAGTAACTTCACAGGAGAAGGAATAAAACCCACTGCTAGCTTTTAAAAGGCCCATAGCATGGATAACTGAATTTTCCTCACTATCTTGAGTGTTTGATGTAGTATATAGTATGTAAACATACTAGTAACAAGTTTTATAATGTACCCTTTATTCCCGAATACATATATAATAAATAAGCTGCAAAAGCAGCCTGCCTAGAATACATTGTTTTGCATTTACATTTTTCTACCTATTCAGCCCAAAGAAGTTTAGCTCTGCCCATTCACACTGAAAGTATAAGGAGTATTTAAGCTCAGACTTTTTTTTTTTAATGAGGTACAAAACAGGGCAGCCAGTCAGAACAGAGATCATTTTACATATTCAGTTTTATGCAGAAGTTTGAACACACCCGGTCAAATGACATATAAAGGTTGTGTTAATGTTTTGACACAATATGTAAATGTAAATATAGCATTTTTTGCTAATTGTAGTGCAAATTTCTATTTATTTGCTGAGTTTAGCATATTATACTTATATGTTAATGTGATTTTTTATTCATAGTAATTTGCACCATTCTTATTGCCTCACTGGTTGAAAAAATAGTTACAAGGCTTTGATATGACAATGATATGTAGTAAATGCTGATAAAGCGTTGATGGCTTTGCTTTTATTTTGCTTGTTGTACGCAATCTGAGGGGGAAAAAAAACTTTAGAGGTAAGTATTTTAGCAAAGTTTTCTGTTCTGTTCTTCTGGTTCAGATGGACATCCAAAATATTAGAATGTATGTGTGTGTGTGCATGACAGAGTGTGATAGTGAAAGTGAAAGTGCAGAATAATATGGGCATGTGGTCAAATTGCAGATACATGGCTGTTAGAGAGGTACGTAGGGACTGACTAGCAGGTTAGCTTGTGGCTAACATATTAGCTTGTGCAGTGTTTCCTCTAGGATTTTTTTTCAGCATTGGTGACCGTGGTCAAGACCATGCAAACCCCCACAAACCGCTATACTGTCCAGCCACAAAGATCAGGCTTAGGCCATCAGTCTTACCTGTTTCATTCAGCATATTTTCACACTGTAAAGTTGTAAATAAACAAGATATACTGTCAGAGAACTTGTAGAGAGGAGAATTACCACTCTGTAATGTCCTCCGGGTTTCTTAAACGCTAGAGGGCGCTCCCGAGCGAGTCCAAAAGCAATAGGTTAAGAGAGAGCATTTGAGCAAAATCATAGTTTATAAATGCGTAACATTTTTAATATAAAAGAATACAATCATTCTCTCGCGTAAACCATT